CTCGGTTGCTTTGCCTTGTTCAACTTCCATGTGACAGTTTTTGTTTTATCTTATTATATTTTGTTGTGTTAAAAAGTAAACACATACACACACACAAATTAATTCTCAGTTTCCATTTTCCTGCTTGAAAACTGGAGAAAACTTCTGCCTTAGTTTGCAATCTAAGGAGGAAAGAGTTATTTCAGTTCACAGGTAAGTCAATCATCCGGAAGTTCTGGCAGAAACTTGAGGCAGGAATGTGGAGGCAGGAGCTGCAGCAGAGGCCACGGAGGAGAGCTGGCTTGCTCAGCCTGCTTTCTTATACACCCCGGGCCCATCAATCGTGAAGAGGACGCCCCACAGGCTCTCCTACAGGCCAGTCTGATGGCGGCCATTCCTCAGTGGGGTCCCTCATCCTAGGTGTCTCTCATTTATGTCACATTTACAAAAATGACCAGCACACCTTCCGTGACACATTCACCCTGTCACTACTCCAACGGACTTTCCGTCTCCCCCAGGGCACCTTCTTCTGTTCCAGGCCCTTCCTGGGACAGGAGCACCCAAGGGCAGTCCTTAGGAAGCACCTGGACCCACTCCCATCCCAGTCTCCAGGCCTCTTCAGGGAGACAGGGAAGGGAAGTGTGTGAGCCCATGCGTTCGTGGAGCCATCCTGTACTATTTGAATTCCAGAACGTTCCAATGCATGGCTTCTCTAAAGCCTTTTCTTAATGGTGATTTACTTTTCTGTATGTATGTGTAGTTAGTGGCATCTTGCTTTGCCAGTGAACTTGCGGTGGTGGCCACATCCTATATGCGTGGCTTCAGGTGTGAAGATCTGACCCCTTATAAGGAAGAGGAGGGGCTGGCTCGATCTCCTGGGCTGCAGCGAGAGCATCAGAAGGGCAGAGACGGCATCTTCTGGAGCGGGAAGACAGGGGCAGTTATTTACTGTTATCTGTGTAAGTGCTTCCCTAATAAACACCCTTTTATCATTTATCTTGGGTCTGGTGGACTCAGTTAAACCCTGCCTTCATATATGGGTGTTTTGCTGCATGCATGTTTGTGTATCATGTTGGTGCCTGGTGCCTGCAGAGACCAGAAGTCACAGGGTCCCATGGACCTGGCATTGTGGAAGGTTGTTAGACACGGGGCGGGGGCTGGGTACTAGACCCCAGTTCTTTACAAAAGCAGCAGTGTGATTAATTCCCAAACAGCCTCTCTGGTCCCCGATTCTTATCTCTGGTTTTGGGGTTCCCCCAACTAGTGGCCACCAGCTCAAGAGCCCTGAGACTTCTCTAAGGGGAACACACTGCTGGAAAATGTCCCACCAAGGGTTCTTATTGGTCAAGTATGGGTCACATGCTGATCCTTGAACCAATCAGAGGGTAGAGATTTTCCCCTGTAGATAATTCAATTTCCTATTGGGGGAAATAAAACAGCTTTTAAACTATAATTCATAGTTGCCGCCTTCCCACACTTTGTGACTGAGCCCCTGGAAATCCAAGCCCCTAGAAGCTTTTCACACACACCGACCCCCCCACTCCCACCAATGTTATCCAGCTTGTAAGTAAAAGTAAAGCTTTACCAGCTGGTCCAGGTTCATTTCTGTTCTTATGCCAAAATACCCTGAGAGCAGTTTGGGAGGCCTGGGCCGAGCCTGAATCTTTGCCATTCCTTAGTGTGCCTCTGATTCCCCACTGCTTTCAAGTGAAGATGTTTTCCCTTTCCTTTAAGAGAGCCATGCTGGATTCTGGGGGTTTCTAGAAACATCCACAGCTGTGGCTGGAATGGGTCCTGGTTTCTCCCAGGCTAAGATAGCTTCCCTCTTTCCTGGGACAAGCTTCACAAGGAAACTTGCCCTCATATACCACCAGGAAGTGAAATTTGGCTACACCATAACCTTTCACCGTTCTGGATTCTGATTGGTTCAACGATAACCATGTGGCCTATTCCCAACCAATCAGAATCCTCTGCGGAACTTTAGCTGGTATTTTTCTACATCTTTGCTGTAGGTGGCTGATGCGAGGACAAGGAGGAACATGTAGTTGAGTGTCCTGTGATTTCTGGGGTACTTGGTTACATCCATTCGCTTTGACACCTGAGTACATGCAGCTTCTATCACACAAGGCCGACATGACCCTGGCCCATTTTTCCAGTCTGAGCTTCCAGTGCTGCTGCCGTCCCTGATGAAAACATGGGCTGAGGATTCCTTGAGCAATGCAGAGCCATTTCAGGGGGAGTGAACCACACGTTCCCCCATCTTCCATCCAAAGGATGGGCCACGTTCACTCCTCGCCCTGGGGTGGGGTGGGCCGGAGAGCTGAGGGCCGAGGACAGGCTGACTCAATCACTTCTTGCTTTTAATGGAGCCCCGTTAATTTCTTCCCCTGAGACATGGCTTCGGCCTTCACCTCTAGCCTCCATTAGCCGCACAGCACTTTGTCAGCGCATTTATGACAAATTAATTGATTGCAAAGGGGGAAACCAGGCCGGGCAGCAAGGACTCTGCTTGGGCAGGCTCAAGGAGCTGTAGTTTGTTCCCCATTGACACCCGGCCTGCTTAACTATGGAGCTCAGGCCGGCTTTGAGATCGCCCCTGGCTTTCAGCGCAGTGCAGAAGGAAGATGCCGGGAGAACCGGCCACCCATACTCTTAGCTTGCATTGATGATGGGATGTCCCAGGGCAACGAGCTCTGGAGACAGCAGCGCACCACGGCACAGGATCCCAGCTGGCATCGAGCCCCACTGCCCAGCTGCTAGGGAACACATTTTCGGGTCAGCTGAGATTTGTGCAAACCTGGTTCCGACTCTCCGTTTCACCAGTTTCTCTACTCCATTTCCTTTGCCCTGATCTTGTTTTAATCCCAAAGTGCCCACCTCATCTCTGTTGCCTTACAGTGAGCTTCAAGCTCTGGTCAGGCTGTGTCCCCACAAAGTGCGGTTCACATCCCAGACTTCCTCACCTGAACTCAGAGACCAGAATCTAGAGTCTTCAGTGTAGGGCCCTGCATGGACTCCCAGGCACCTTGAGCAAGCCTGAAGCTGTTGGCCAGAACTCCTTGCCCCAAACCTGTTGTTGGTACTCTTCCCGTTTTGATAACACACACCTCGTGACATCGTTTTGATAACACACACCTCGTGACATCACACACCTCGTGGGGAGGAGCTAAGTCTAAACTTCCTGTAGTTTTCCACTGTGCTGTGAGTCAGTATTTAAGCCCGTTCTATCCCCTCAATAAACGGCAGACATTGAACGGATGAGCCTCTCTCTTGTCTTTATTTCAATCTCTAGGTCTTCGCCCAATTCGTGGAATGATACACTTCAGCTGCGCAGCATGGCTCTGGGGCTCATGTGCTTCCAGCCCGTGTTCCAAGCTCCCGTTATCCATTGCGACCGTCCCTGCCCTGCCCATATGAGAAGAGCCATTGCTGTCCTGCTCTCCTGCTGTCCCATTATTCTCTGCTGCTTCCCTCCCTCTCCGTAGCCCCAGGGCCCGGTGCAGGCTTTAGAAGGGGACACAAAGCCCCAGAAGATTGAGAGTGTGGAAACCAGACCACGAGCCCTGGAGGTCCCCACTCAAGTGGCCCCTGTGGCCAGGCAGAAGAGGGCGTTGGATCCCCTGGAACTGGAGTTATAAGCCATTGCAAGTCCTCAGTCGTGTGTGTTCAGAACCAATCTCAGGCCCTCTACAAGAGCAGAAGGGGGATGGGGGTGGGGAGTGGGGGCGGCTTGTGGGTACTGTGCCCCAGGCACACCTCTGGAGGTCAGAGGACAGTTTGTGTAAATGCGTTTTCTCCTTTCACTATGTGGATCTTTGAATTCCAACTTGGGTCATGAGGCTTGGCTGCAGGCCTCTCTTGGACTGAGCCATTTCACCTGCCTCTGGTTTAATTCTTTAACTCAGTTTTCTGAGTGACTTAGATGCTCTTTAGTCAAATGAAACATTAACTGTGTGTGGGGGGGGCTGATTTTACATTTTCTTCTTAGTTGGGGCATTTATGCTCTGTATGTGGCTTTCAGAGGATCACCTTTGTACAAACATACATCACGCTCAACCAATGCCCTTCCCTCGCCCCTTGCTTCCTGTTGGCCCCTCCCATCTCCTGGCTAGCTTTACCTCTGCTTTGATGTCACATCCACATGTGTGATTCTATGAGTCTATGCAAAATCTAGGAGCCATGGCCAGGCAGTGGTGGAACACGCCTTTAATCCCAGCACTCAGGAGGCAGAAGCAGGTGGATCTCTGTGAGTTCAAGGCCAGCTTCGTCTGCAGAGCTCCAGGACAGGATCCAAAGTTACAGAGAAACCCTGTCTTAAAAATTCAAAAAGCAAAACAAAGCAAAACCAAAGTTAAGTAATCTAGGAGCCACAAATGAGAGAGAGAGAGAGAGAGAGAGAGAGAGAGAGAGAGAGAGAGAGAGAATTTTTCCCCTAGAGATGATTTAATTCACTTAGCATGGTGACCTCTGGTTGTACCCACTTTCCAGCATATGACACAACCACATTATTTATTTTTATTTTTTATTTTATATAACCAAGTCCATTTAAATGAATACAAACATTTATAGACAATATTTGGGAATTTGGGCGTCGTTCTTTCCAAACTACTTCCTGCTGGTAAGGGGCGCTGTCATGGGGGATTCTAAGAAGATGCAGAAATCCTGGCTGTAGTCTGCGAGGCTGCTTTGTCCAGCTGTTTTGAATGATGGATCACCAGGAACTCTGTTTCAGGTGGTCTGGCTTGATCAAACCATAATAGTCTGGAAGGAATCCACATCTTTTCATTTTCTGTGGAAACAAAAATAGAAATCCTTTTCCCCAGTAACTTGTCCTTGAACTTAAATTTTGGAGTCAAAGCATTTTTTTAAATTTAATTTATTATTTTACATGTCGATCCCAGTTCCCTCTCCCTCCCTCCCTCCCTCCCTCCCTTCCTCCCTCCTTTCTTCCCTCCCTTTTACCCTGTCTGCCCTCTCACATGTACCCTAACCACCCTCCCCTCCCATCCCCCCCACCCCAATTCCATATACAACCACATTATTTTATGTGGCAGTGTGCACACTCTGAATTTCCTTTATACATCCTCTACTGACAGACAGCAAGGTTGGTTCCATTTCTCAGCTGCCTGGGACAGTGTGCAATCAACAGGGATGTGTAGATATCTGTCTGCTGTGTTGATTTGCTCCTTCTGGTGAAGACGCAGGAGTGGTAGAGATGGCTCGTATCATTGGTTGTCAGATCTTGAGGCAGGAAAGGTTGCTTTGGCTCATGGTGGCAGAGGTGTCAGCCCATGGTCCCATTGCTCCATTGATTTCTGGCCTGTGGTAAGGCAGAGGTGGGTGGTAAGGCAGGGAGAAGAGATGATGGGTAGAGAGACTGGAAGGGGCCTGGCCCAGGCAGGGGCTACAGCTATGCTGGTAGAGCATTTGTGTACCATTCGTGAAATCCCATCCTTAGCATCTCATAAACTGGATGTGCTGGTACCCACCCGTTATCCCAGCACTCAGGAAGAAGAGGTGAGCAGATCAGAAGTTCAAGGTCATCCTCGGCTACATAGTGACTCAAAGTCAGTCTGGACTACATGAGACCCTGACGTCCTCATTGACGCCTTCCATTCATCCTCTCCTCCCAATAATGTCAGACAGCAAACCCTTCTAGAGACTGGTGTGTGGATGATCTCAGGGCCCTCAGAATCCTGTCACCTCATGACAGGGTCAAGCTGTCAATAAATACCTGGGCCTCTTCAGGAAGGGTATCACTTCTAAATCACAGAAAGTCTAGTCGGAGCCCTGCGTGCAAGCAGAAGAAACCCCACACAAAGGCCGCTTGCCTGTGCTTCTCCATCTCTCCTGTCTTACCTCATTCCTGTGTCTGCCAGGTCCCTGCATGGGAGACTCCACCCTCCTTCACCACAGGTTCTGCCGTCTGGGGGCCGCTGTCTCCCAGAGTCATAGTTCCCAGCTCAGAGGTGAGCAGCGTGGAGTTGCTGGGGCTTTTGAGGCAGCTTCTGCGTGGCGGCGTGGCTTTAGAGTCTGGACGGAGGAGAGTGAAGGAGCAAGTGAGGTCTCAGTTCACTGTGTTTAGTTCACCAGGAGTTGCAGGCTTCCTTCAGGCTCCTTGGGAGTGGATGCCCGAAACCACTGTGGTGGGTTTCTGTTTCCATGTGTTCTATGGCTTTGTTCCCAAACTGTCCTTGGGGAGACTTAAGCTTTTCCTACCCACATTTATTTATTCACTTATTTATTGTGTGTGTGTGGGGGGGGGCGGTGAGCTCAGATGGCGATGGGCAGGGATTGGTTCTCTCCTTCAACCATGTGGGTCCTGGGTATCAAACTCAGGTCTTCAGACTTGGCAGCAAATGCCTTTACCCACTGAGCCATCTCGCCGGCCCAGGGAAACTTGGAAGCTACATCATGTGCCTCTGTTCACACTCTCCAGGTCTCCCCAGCTCATTTCAAATAAGGTGGAGACATTTTGTCCACGCCTTCAGGCTCTGAAAGACTGGGAGGCACCCACCTGTAGTGAGATATTTACACACACCGGTCCCCCACCCCTGCAGCACCCACCACGCCTGCCCGTCGGCTCTCTCTTGCTTCTTGGTTGGGTCCCAGAGAGCGTTCCGGTGGCAGGGTGGTGGGCACCCTTGGAGCAGGAACCCACGGTGTTCATCTGTTTCTTGTGAGTGCTTTCTCCCCGAATAGAATTACATTAACCTGTATTGAGCCTAGTCCTGTGAATCTTGATCTGCGCCTCTATACCCACCAAGGCTTTGGGCTCCTGGGTGTGGATTCCTCTTGTTTCCCAGGCTACTCTCCCACCTCCCACCCCGGGGCCTTGGCACCTTTCCTGTCTACGCTTGCAAATCCCTCCACAGGACTGTGTTTGTCGGCAGGCCCCTACTGTTGGTACCCTACTTCAGTTCTCTCCCCTGACTGCAGGACTCAGGCTGCTCTGCTCAGTCCCTACATCGCCCTGCAGCCTGGGGCTTCGTGCTGGCGTTTGGTTTGCTCGCTGAGTCCCACAGCAGCGTGTCGGCGATCCAGGCCATGGCCTGACGGTTGAACGCAGAGTATGAGGTGGGCACTCACACAGACACCTTCTGTGCCCAGGCTCACCTGTGTCCCCCTTCGGCTCTCCGCTGCCCCCGGACCCCGCGACTCCACCCTCTGAAGTAGAGTGAATGGTCATCTTGTTGCTGTTGCCGATGGTGGCATCCACCAGCAGGCAGGATTTGATGTAGACTTTCTGGGCTGTGTCTGCCTCAGGCTGAGGGCCTGGCTCAGGTGACTGCGTGGGGAATGAAGTTCCTGGGTCAGCAGAGGTGGCTGAGACTGCAAGTGAACCAAAGAGAAGGCAGGGGGAGCAGCGGGCAGTTGCACAGGGAGCTGGCACCGACACCCGGCCTGGCTGCCACACCCTCAGGGCTGACTCTCACTGTGACCTTGTAGGTCTGGCTCACCTCCTCGCCCTGGCACATGCTCTCGCTGGCCTGCAACTGCCCCCTGCCCCACCCACCACTGAGCTCAGCAAAACCTCGGTGGCCTCCCTCTTGTCTGAGGTCAGTTCTCAGGTGGCCTCCGGGACACGCCATCCTACCGTGGTTCATTTGTCTCCTCCCCCAGTCTCACCTCAGCGTCCACTGGGCCCTGATGTCTCCTCTTCGCTTTCACACTCAAAAGTCAGGAAGCGTCCAAGCTCAGCTTCCCCATGCCCTCTGGCGGGCTCCCCTTCACTCCCAGGAATGCCTCAGAAGGCCATGGAGGAGCCCTGTTTGCTGGTACCCTGCCTCGCTGGCCTGTTCTCTATAGAGACGTTTCTCTGTGTCTCTGTTGGTTCCCCTGAGAACCCCGACCATCTAGGAATCTATAGCTCCTGGCAGCCTCTGGCCAGGTCCTGGAGTCTCTGTGCCGTTCATTGATGGCCTCCCTTGCCGTTTCCTCGGGCCGCCATCCAGGCTTCAGCCTGCCCCTCTGACCTTGGTTTCCCCCATTCAGCCTCCGCTCTGCAGGGTTTGCTGTGTATGGGTGCTGGCAGACTGGGGACCCCTAGTGCCAGGTCTGAAAGTTCAACACCTTGTTCAGTGGCACCCCTCACATGGGTCAGGGTGGAATGAATTTCCCATCATGCTTCTCTTCTTACAAAGACTGTGGATATGTGGGGTGGTGGAGGCCATGATACCTGGGGGGCTGTCACTGAAGCTGTAATCTGTGTGTTCCACTGGATGCTCCGGGAGGCTCATCTCATTGCTGTGGCCCAGCTGTACGCGCCTGAGCATGGATTCCTCCAAATGGATGTGCTGAGCTCCCCATGCACCGGCTGGGGTGTCCTGAGAAGACGGGTCCTCTGGCACAGGCAGTGGGAGAGGGTGGCGGGGCCTGGGACCTGGGAAGGGCAGAGAGGTTAAGGAATTGCTAGAGATGACTCCAGATTGTTCTAGCTGGAGCTGGGGGGTCTGCAGCATTCCCAGCTGGGTGGGCTCAGGGTATTGCTGGGGTACCTACAGGTCCAGGGGGCACATGCCACCTGCATCCTGGTTATCCTTGAACCTTGACCCCCATCAAAGAAAGTCCCCTGTGTGGGAATGAGTCCTCCATGCCTCTTGAGGACTGAAGAGAGTTCAGGTCTTTAAGCACAGCTGAAATAGCTCAGTTGGGAGAGCCTTAGACTGAAGAGAGTTCGGGTCTTTGTCCTGGCTTTATTCCCCTGGCATTCATTTTTAGACCCACTTTTATGATTTTTAAGTTAAAGGAATGCAAAAGCTTTCAGAAATATTAGAGTCTGAGAAACTGGTAAGCCACTCAACATCTGTAAGTAAAATAGCCAGACAAGATGGCTGTTGGAACCAGGAGAGCCATGGTCCAGAGGCCTGGGGTAGGGCAGACTTCTCCCAAGGGTGGGGGAGGGGATCTGAGTTTGGGCTGATGCTCTTAGGCATGGGTGAAGGGCTAGGGTGTGAGGTGGCCCCACCCTCTAGCCACATCGCCTTTTAGAGAGGAAACACTCGCCGGAAGGCTCCAAGCTTCATCAACGCCAGGATGCTGAGGGGATGGGTAAGAGAACTCTTGGGAAGCATGGGGACCTGAGTTTGGATCCAAGCACCCACATAAAAAGCCAGGTGTGGCCACAGGGACCTCTAGTGCTGGGTGACACTGAGGCAGGACCGCTGGGGCTTACAGCTGCAAGGCTTGTTCCAGTTCAGTGTGACACTCTACCTCGGGGAAGAAGGACAGAACAGGACACCTGATGTCCCCCTCTGCTTCTGAATAGATTTCACCACACACTCACACACACACACACACACACACACACACACTTTCACACACTCTCACACACTCACACACAAACACACACTCACACACTCTCATACACTCTCACACACTCACACACAGAAACACACTCACACACACACACACAAACACACACTCACACACACAAACACACAAACACACACACACAAACACGATGGGAGCTGTCATTCTGTAAATATGTTTCTCTTATTGGTTAATGAATAAAGCCCTGTTGGCCAATAGGAAAGCAAGATAGGCGGGACTGGAAGACAAGGAGAATTCGGGCAGGGGTAGGAGGAGTCAACATGTAGAGACTGGAGGGAAGAGGTCTGGACCCTCTCTCCGGTAAGATAAGACCACGTGGAAACACTTAGATTAATAGAAATGGATTAATATTTAAAACACAGTTAGCCAATAAGAAATGCTAGTAACAGGCCAACAGCTTTATATCTAATACAGCGTCTCTGTGTGTTATTTGGGGCTGACACGGGTGTGAGACCAGGCTGGCAGGAAAACTTCTTGTAACACTTATGCACACACATATCACACAAACATTACCACACAAACATACCATATACACCACACACACACACATCATACATGCAACACCACACACACACACACCACAGCATATACACATCATACACACAACACCACACAAACACACCACATATACCACACACATATCACATACACACACATAACACATACACACACATAACACACACACAAACACACGCACACATACCACATGCACACACATTACACATTCACCACATATACACATCACACACACATACCATATACATCATACACACACACCACATGCACACATATCACACATTCACACATACACACACATCACAATACACCACATGCACACATACCACACACACATAACACACATGTACACACACATACCACATGCACACACATGCACCACACACACTACATGCACATATGCACACACACATACACACACCACATGCACACACATCACACATGAACCACACACATACATCACACACACACACCATATGCACCACACACTTCACACACACACCACATGCACACATGCACACCACATACACACACATACTACATGAACATACATCATACATGCACCATATGCACCACATGCACACACACACACACACACACACAAAGCCACTGACCGCATGATGACCCCAATTTTTCACGGCAACAACTTGAGAGAGAGGAATGTGTTCAGAGCAGAGCATGGCAGTTGTCCTCTCTCCATGGTCTGCTGAGATAAGGAGCTGACAGATTGCACCTCACTGGGTGCAGGTGACTGTGATCCAGGCTTCTCATCCTGAGAAGAGCCATTGCTAAGGCCATGCACATGAGGGAGTTGCTCTTTCTCCTTGAATGACCAAGTCCCTCCACCTCACTGTCTTCCTCCACTCAGGCACAGCGGGTGTCCTGGCCAGGCCCCTCCTCTTACCCCTTGGATCATAGGCTGGCTGCATTTGCATGGTGTTCCCATGGCCGATCTGGATGGCTTGTGACTCAGAAATGGAGATATGGTTGAAGGCCCCTTGTTGGCAGATCACATTGGTGGGATTCTGCTGGTAGATAATCGCAGGGCGTTCTCGACTCACTCCGGGGTGAGCTACAGAACAATATTCCATTGAGTTCCTGTGGTTCAAGGGCACAGGGGCTCTTGGGTCAACAGCACTAAACTTCCCTGGGAACTTGCTGCAACAAGAGACCAGACCCCACACTGGGGGCCCGAGAAAGAGGGTGCGAGCTCAGGCTCAGGAGCTATGTGGCACTGGCCACGACCTTCCTTCCCTGTGCTTGCTGGACACCGTGGTACCTCAGAGGGAGCCTCCCCTGAGATCCCTGCAGCAAGTACCGTACCTGTGTGTCCTAGCCACGATGGCTCACTGGGGGACAATGGACACTCCACTGCCTCCCTACCCTGCCCCTGCTGCCCTCCAGAGCCCTCAGTGCTGACTGAATCCCCTGCTCTTCCCACTGCTGAGATGGCCGGAAGATGGCTCCTATGCTTTGTTGGGCTCTGCAGACATTATTAAAGTCTTAGATATGTCCCCATGTTTAAAGTCTGGCTGCCACCCACACGGTTAGGCTTCTTCCAGTAGGTGGGAACCACATGCAGGTGGGCAGGCCCCACCAGCCAAGGCCAGCCCCCTGCGCTGCATGTCCTCTATGCCTGCGAACCTCTGTGAGTTCTTTTCTCCCTCAATGAGAGTAGCCAAGCACGGTGACAGACAGACAGACAGACAGACACCGTAACCCCAGCACTTGGGAGGTGGAAGCAGGAAGATCAGCAGGAAGGTCATCTCAGCTACATGAAATTGTCTCAGGAAAGGAAAAAAGAAAATTTAGCCATGTTTTCTACCCATGCTTGTGTAAAGGCAAACATACTCGAGCCAGGGCATTTTAGATACGCATTCTTAAAATGCACATTCCTTTATCTGGCTTTAAAAGACATTTTTCCAGGTGTAGCGGTACGTGCCTTTAATCCTAGAATTTGGTAGGCATGTCTCTGTGGGTCTGAGGCCAGCTTAGTCTACGGCCAAGGCTACAGAGTGAGACTATCTCTCAAAGAACATGCTGGGGGGGGGGGGTGGCTGAGAACACCAGGGCTGACTCACTACCACTGCACTGTGGATGGGAGCCTGGCTGTGCAAGCCCAGCCACGCCCTCCCTTTAAACAACTTCGTTCACTTATTTATCAGTTGGATTTTTTTTTTTTTTTGTAGTCCACTCTAGCCTTGAACTTGTAACTCTCTTCCCTCTGTCTTCGGAGTGCTGGACTAAGACCTCCACAGCATCATACCGGGACAAAATGCTTACAGAGAGTCCTTACCAAATTCAGGCCGTCCCCTGTGTCCAGGCTGAGCAATTCCAGTGTGTCCCTTCCTCCAGACTTTCTGCATCAGCAACTCTGATCCCTGCAGAGCTCCTGTCCCCTCAGCCATGACTAGAAGAACCCTCACGTGTTTTGTGGGTCCCACTGACTTTATTAACCATTTGGATGTGTCCCTGTGTTGGAAATCCCTCTGATAGCCGGAAACCCTATGGGCACTGTGAGCGAGGCAGGCAGGCCGATGCCAGCCAAGGCCAGCAGCTGGGTGGCTGTCCCCCTTTAAGCCTGCCAGCACCCCTCCTTCTTGGGACCCCTCCCAAAAGAGTATCAGTAAAATCTGACCCCAAGGCTGGAGAGGTGGCTAAGTGGTTAGAGAATTGGCCGCTCTTCCAGAGGAAGGTGGTACTCCTCACCCACATGGCAGCTCACAACCATCTGTCACAACAGTTCCATCCAGGAGATCCAATTCCTTCCTCTGGCCTCTACATGCATGTGGTGTGTGTATATACATACATGCAGGCAGACACTTAAAACACATACGATAAAACACATAAATCTAAAAACAAAGCAAAACAAAAAAATCTGACCCTACACCATCCAATCCTTACCGTTGACTTTTTCAACCCAACCCTAGATGGCCCAATTCTGGTCCTTGACCTTCCAGAACTTTGAACTTTCCAACCTGACCCTAGGCCATCCACCCTGACCCCTGACCTCCCCAAACTGACTTTGGCCTTTCATACCTAGCTCTTGACCTTTCGGACTTGAGTCGTAGATCATCCACATGTTCTCATCACAGCTCAGAATGTGCCTGTTCCTCATGGCATACAGGTGTGGGTTCACCTCTTTGGCCGTCGTCATTCCCAGAGCCTTGGCTATGTGCAGGGCCTTGTGAGGCCCGCTGGTCTCCAGGAATCTGAGGATTTTTTCATCTGCAAGTGAGGGGTGAGCACTTATTAGGAGGAGGGCCCTGGGCTTGCACCTGTCCAGCACCCACAGGCTGTAGCCTGGGATGCTTATGAAGCCCAGAGGGCCCTGTCCTGCTTTGTTAGAGGCCCATGGCCACACTGGGTACAATGTCATCTGGAGACCAGATGTGTGCAAGAGGCTCTCACCCTAGAGGCTGGCTCAGGCTGGCACAGGTGTGTCAGCACCTGGAAAATGAGGTACTTCTTGGCGGGTTAGAGCCTTTGGCTTCTGACACTGAGTCTGGCCTTTGAGGTCCTTTCGGAGCCTCGGTGGTAGACGTGATCCCAAACACCCATTCCTCTTATGCCCCGAAGAGTAGTTTGGGGAGGACTTCGGCGTGCACTGAGCTTCAGGCCAGGGCTCTGCAGAGCTGTGCCTATACCTTTAGGGTCTTGTCTGTTGGAGGCAGGAGACCCTCTGGTCCACTGAGCACCAGGGACACTTCCACAGGAGAGCTAGGGGACAGGACATTAGGCTGGGGTCCCAGGGTTTCCCATCTACTTGGGTCATAGCTGCTGGCTGCGGAAGGGCGGGGCCTCCTCTCCTGACTCCAGCTGTGAGAGTTATTGAAGGCGGTCTTGAGTACAGCATCAACAAAAGACCTGTGAGGTCTCTCTGCTCCGTGGCTATCAAAGCCACCCGAGGGCTCTGAGTGAACCCCTGCCATCAGCACTCACTGTCACCTGGATTATCTTCACTATTGCTAGCATCCATCGCACACCCACCACCGCAAGCCCTAGGCTCTACATTAGCTCCATTGGAGAGAAGAAATCAGAAGACAGAGAGGACGGCTCAGCTTTGAAGTCAAGCCTGAACCTGGACTTGCCCATTGCCGAGGGGCGTCTGCCGTGCCCCCAAAGGGCAGATTACCAAGGCTAGGCTGGGCAGAGGGGTCCTCAGGGATTGCAGGACTCTCGTTTCCAGGAGCATCCCCGCCTAAACACCACATTGCAGGGGCTGGTGAGTGCACCTTGCCCTCGCTCTTCAGGCGGTAAAGGACTTGGTTGAGGGCTTTCTTGGGCACTTGGCACTCCTTTACCAGCTTGGCAATCTTCACGGGGCGGCCGGCTTCATCCAGTACCTGTCGGATCTTTTGTTCCAGATTATCTTGGGGAGGAACAGAGAGAAGAGCTGAGTCAAGCCCACTCCTCATGGGAGGCTAGACCTGAGAGCCCAGAGCAGAGGAGGCATCCATGATCTGGGCCAAGCCGACAGCATGGAGGGCATCATTGAGAGACAAGAGAGTCAGACTGAGTGGCCCCTGGCCCCGCAGCTGGATGGTTGCATGGTCATATGCTAGGAATGTGCATGCTCTCTGTGTATTGGTGTGGAGCCCCAGACAGGTAGGAACCCTCAACTCTTAGGAGATGGAGCTAGAGGGAGAGGCATGGAGCCAAGCCTGGCCCGGACGCCCCTCCGTGGCGCCTGGTGCCTCTCTCAGCCTGCCTAGGGAGTCCCTCCTTCCCCATCTCAGCATTCACGTGGATGGCGTGGGCATATTCCCAGGTCTCCCTTCCCATGCCCGGGGGATCAGGAGCCCTGAAAACCCAGCTCAGATATCTCCTTCCTTTTCCCCTACCCCAGCTTCAATGGCGTCTTCCTGATGGCATTACTAGTCTCCCAGGGGACCACCAACTCCAGAAGTGTTCCCTCCGGCACCCTCTCCCTAGAGGTCAGATGGACCCCTGCTCGTTACCCAGTCTCCTCTGCGCCTGCCTGACCCCAAGGGTCACCCAAGTTCCACCTGGAGCTCCTTCTGGTTCCTTCCATCTGCCTGCTTACCTGTGTGCCTGCTTTTACCTTTCTGTTTTTCCTCTAGAGATAAGGTCTCACCGTTTATCTCAGGCTGGCCTGGAACTCACAGCAATCCTCCTGCCTCAGCCACCCCTCCCCTTCTGGGGAGTGAGCCCTGAAGTGAGTTCTCATGCCCCCTTTCTCTCCTGGCCCCTAAGGAACACACACAGAGCTTTCTCCAAAGGGTGAGCTTGAAGAACCGCATGGAGGTGACTGGCCGGCAAGGGTAGTATTAGGAAGCCACGGGGCCCAGGCAAGGCTTAGTTCCTGGTCTTCTCTGCCTGGCCCTGAACCTGCCACCTGGCTTGGCACCTCCCCTAGCATGGTATGAGTATCAAAAGGGGTGACTTTGGGGGCTGGAGAGATGACTCCGGAGTTAAGAGCACTGGCTGCCCTTCCAGAGGTCCTGAGTTTGGTTCTCAGCACCCACATGGTGGCTCACAAGCACCAACAATGAGATCAGGTGCTTTCTTCCGGAGTGCAGACATACATGCAGGCAGAACACTGTATACATAGTAAATAAGCATATCTTTTTAAAAAAAAGTTTCAAAACAATGAAGAAAAGCGGTAAAGTAAATCCTGTTCACAGCGGCACAGCCTCATCTCCAACTGTCTAACAGCCTGGCCTCACACAACCCCATACCCACAGACTCCCACAGCCCTGCACCCGGGAAAAGAGCCAAATCTTCTTATCAAAACAAAGTCCCTCCTCACAGTTCAGAGCCTGAAGCCTGTCACAGGCCTTGGTGACCTCATCTATGGGGAGAGAGCCACCATGTTTGCCTGAGGGCTGTTATGAACCAGCCCAAGGATCCTGCATGATGGGCAGGATCCCCGAAGCTGGCTTCTTCTGGTGCCCTCTTTCTGAGCTCTGATAGCCTCGAAATACTGCTGCTGTCTGGGCCGAGGAGAGAACGGGAAGGAGGGATAGAAACTCACGGGGGTGGGGTGGGGGGGTGGGGGGGGTGGGAGGAGGAAGAGGCTCGCCCAGCTTACCTCCTGTGCCTGGATCAGCAGAAGCTTCTGCCATGCTCATGGCAACCTTGGGGCTCCTTTGGGGCTCGGGGTGGCAGGTTCCTGTACTGTGGCCAGGCCCGAGGCCAGGTCCATAAGAGAACTGCGTCCTGGACTTGCAGACACCATCTGTTTCTACCCCGGAAACAAGCACCCATCTGGCCTACCTACCCAGCTTTCTGGAGAAACAGAAAATGAAACTTTGGCGTGGTTCTCGGAAGAAATCTCGAAACCAGGGTGGGTGAGCAAGTTGGAGCCAAATTAATGACTTGGTGTCTACTGCGCATTCCCTACTTGTCCACAGGGTTAGGGTTAGTACTGTCAACCCACATACCTTCTAGAAAAGGAGACCCTCACCTTCTTAAATTCTCAAACAAGTCAGTGATCCCCGAAGAGTTCAGACATCATACTGTTCCAATTACAGACTAAGGGATCGAGCTCACAGACGTGGTCTCGTGCCCACAACAGTGTCCTTGAGTCCGGGTCCCAGCAGCAGGTGGGGGGGGGTGGGGTTAGCATTGGTGCACAGGGCACGACAGGACCCTGTAGTATTGGCAGGGCAGGAGCAGGAAACGGAGACCAGCGGGAGGTATAGATATGCCTGCAAAATGTCTGTAAAGCAAGCAGCGGGTGGCAGGCCCCCAGCCAGCCTCGTCCCTGGACAGGCCTTGCCCAGCCAGTTTCACACAGCCAGTTCCATGGGCCCGTGTATGGGGAAACTTTAAAATTTCCAAGGGATTTTTATGACTTCCAGGGGGAAAGCCAGAACCTGCAGAAGCAGCCAAGGAAAACAGAAAGTCTTACCGTACAGCCCACTGAGGCTCAAAATAAATAAGGTCACCATTTAAACACGCTCAGAGGGACATAACTCGGGTTCCCTAGAGGGGCTATTTGAAGACCAACCACCAGGTGGCGCCCACCCATCAACTGATTCTTGACCGGGGTGGGGGTGGGGTGGAGTGGCTCTGGCCTTAGAGGGCTGGGCTTCAGGACATGCCACCAGAACCTGACCCTGGGGTTCTGCTGTCAATATCTCAGCATTCTCTATTTTTTTTTTTTTTTTTTTAATTTTTGAGACAGGGTCCCACTCTGTAACCAAGCCTGGACTCAGATTCTGGTTCCTTCTATCATCACTTCTTGAGAGGCAGGACTACATGTATCACAATGCCTACTGGAACCCTGTCCCCCTATCTCTCCCAGACAATGTTGCACTGTGTAGCCCTGACTGTCCCAGACCACTGTGGGTGGCATCATACCTAGGCTGCTTGTTCTGGACTGTGTGTGAAAAGCTGGTTGAGCACGAGCCGGGAAGCAGCCCTTCTCCGGTCTCTGAGTTTCTCATGGGCCCTGAAGGATAAGCTGAAACAAACCCTTTCCTCTCCAGCTGGCTTTTGTTTGTCTTTGTCATAGCATTTATCACAGCAGAAGAACTAAACAAATAGACACTCCCTCTTTAAAGAGTACGTCTTGCACACACTTTCCACTCAAACCCTCACCCTTATGGTCCCCACGTCCATGGAATGCTGGGGAAGGTGGTCTGTGTGCTGGGACACTGTGTATCCAGATAAAATTGGGGTCACATTCCTTCGGATCACAATATCTGTCACAACAGATGCTGTCTGAGACCTAGGTATTCTTGCCAACTCAAGGCTCTTCCTCAAAGACAGAGAGAGGACATGTCCCTTTGTGTGTGCATCGAGGCCATCTCCTGCCACAGCTGGTAGTTCCCAATCTCTTTCTCTAGCAGATGCTATGCTGAGTCTGATGGAGTTCAAGGCCAATGAGGAAGGGAGGGAGGGGGAGGGAGGGAGGGGGGAGGGAGGGAGGGAGGGAGGGCTTCCAGGCTAGGAAGGGGCCAAGATGACATGCCAAGCTGGTCTCTTTTTACCCTGGAGAGCACACTCCTTCCAAATGGCTCATGTTTTTCTAGAAACCATTAGAACTCTCCTCCCAAAGCAGGAGATAATTACATGTTACTGATCTCGAGTCTTCAGGTTTTGTGATCTCGCTTTTAAAAGAGATTTTTTTTTTTTTTTAAACCACATATTGTATTGGTAAAACCCACCTCCTTCCCTCTCCATAATCAACTCAGGAAGGAAGGAAGGCTGTGAACTCCGTGAACTCGGTTTGGTAGGAGGTCAGACATGGTTGGTTACAGCAAGGGGATTGTGAGGTGTCTCTGGTCCCTGCCTAGAGCAAAGAAAAAAGATGGTTATGGCAGGTATGTTGGGGTGAGAAGCCCCCCCCTCAAGGCCCTGGAGGAGCAGGCCGTGCAAGACAGAGCGAGCAGTGGCCCTCGTGTCTCCCTGTCCACTGGAGTTGGGCACGCTTGGGCATCCCCCTTCTTGGCCCTGGGCCTTGAGCACAGCCCTGATCTTTGTGGGTCTTCGTTTCCCTTTGGCAGTGGGAACCTACGGTTCTCAACCCAGGACTGGCTGTACCAGGTCCCTTCAGAGAGCTAAGGACATGGTGCAGACTGATTGCTTTATCCTCAGCTGTCTCTCTGATCTGGCCAGGCTGGCTGGCCAGCAATCCCCATGATCTCCGGATTATGCCAGTCCTTTTGCTGGAGTGCTGGAGCTGCACACACCCTGCTTTTATGTGGGGCCTGGGGGTTTGAACTCAGTCCTTATGCTTGTATGGGAAGTACTTTACTACTGAGCCATCTCCCCGGGCCCCAGAAAGGCTGTTAGAGAAAAATAATTTTCCAGATTATCTACCCACAAGAAATTCACTTAGTCAAAGCTGGCCACGGTCTCCTCGCCAAGTATCACGCTTGGGAATGCTTACTGGGTGAGACTATTTCACCATTAATTCTCTTCAGCTATAGCGAAGTATCATGAAATTTTCATGACAACTAAATGGAACGATTAATGAATTTGACATGATGCTTGGGTTTCTAGATGGTTAATTAAACATTTACTATGGTATTTTTTCCTCTCCCTCTCCATAGCTTGAGGCCCGAAGTCTTCCCTCTTTTACACACTCCAGTGCAGGTGCTATGGGCACTCAATCCTGTTACTAACTTGGGTACCTCGGAGGCACACTGCCAGCCAGCACTGGCTGTCCCTGGCTGGGCCAGGTCCTGGCTCGGCCTTGGTGTTTGTGGTCTGTGAATGATCCAGAGGTTCATGGGGCAGCTGGTTACAAGGTGCCGATAAGGGCGGCTGCCGTGTGGGGACCTGTGGGGGGCCATGAGTGGTGGGGCAGCAAGCTCTTTAGGCTCCTCTTAGATTCTCGGTAAGGAAACTTGCTTTGAAGGTGGGCGGCCAAGTGCCCCTGGTCCCAAAGGACTGAGCTGTTCACACAAGCTTAGCTAACCCTGAGCAGAGGCTGAATGGCAGCTCCCCCTGGGCTGTCCACCTTCATATTGACTGATGGCTTTAAAAACCCTGGGCCTTAAAGATGGTTCTGTGTAGAAGTAAAGTCTTTTTGTACTAGGTACCCTGTGTGTGTGTCTGGAGGGTCACAAAACCACCTTAGAGTTCCTTTAGAGGGTCTGTGTGCCCCAACTCCAGTGTCCAAGAGTCTTGTGTTGAGCCTTGCACCCATAGGTGGGCCTCCCGTGTGCTGCTAGGACCCTTCTCTGCGCCACCTTTTGGGCCAGGAGGGCTGTAGGGTGCAGCTTACCCTACAGGACACACCGATACCGGCCCAAGGTTGGGCTTTCCCTGCAAACGGCTTGCTGCCCCCTCTGCTGGGTCGGGGGAAGACACTGGCCTCTTGCACAGTCTACATCTCAGACTTCCCAGACCTCACCTGATCCTCCCGTAATGAGTGGTCATTTTCCAAGAGGGTAGAAATGTTGTTAATATTTGGCAACTCTTTTAACCCTGTCAGTGCCTCCCCTTTATTGGAGCCGCTTGTGGGAGCAAGGGTTTCCTGACACACACACACCCCAGCACCACCTGATCCAAAATAGAGAGGTTGGACAAACTGTTTAAGGACGCCCAGCAGCTACATGCCCTCTGCCTTCACTCCATGTGTCATGGGTTTTACAGAGGATGGGAGTGGGCAGGGAGAGCTACACAGTCAAAAAAAAAAAAAAAAAAGGGAGAAAATTCACTCTCTAAAGACCTGTAAAATTTATTTTGTATTGCAGCTTTTCAGAATGCCGTCATTGGCACCAGAGATTATAGATGCATAAAGAATGACTTCTTCAGGCCTGGGGTACAGCCTCCCGAGGCATGGAGGAATAGAAGTTTCCGGGACAGCTGCAAAGGAGGGCATCCCAGAGCCAAGAGCAGCACGGCAGGGCAATGTGCTGAGGGAGCGTGTCAGGCGACAAGTGATGTGGCCCACTAGATTCTGCCGTGCAATGGCATTTCTGGGCCCCGAAGTCCAGCCCACAGGTCATTGTTGCAATATTCTATAGAGGGGGCACATGGAAGTCTGTTATGCAGGTCACAGCAATGACCAACAAGAGAGGAGGGGTCTGGTATCTGCCTGGCCCTCACTTCTGTTATATGTTGGGTATGTGGTCCTGTCTTCACTTTTTGTAAAACATTAGACTTCTGGAAAACCTTTTGCAGCAGGCAAAGTCATGCGGACCCAAGCTCTTCAGAACTGCCTCATAGCCCTGGGCCCTGCAGGGGAAGTAACTTCTCTGGAGCAAGAACTTGAAATGGGAATGTTGGACAGAGGGAGCTGTCACTGTCTCAGAACCTCATGGAACAGCAGACTCCCTTCCCCCAAGCCAACCAGGTCCCTCTCTAACCAGTCACTTTTCAGGACCTGCCTAACTTTCCATGGGAAGACTAGCATCTAGAGAGACTGCCCAGAGTTCCGGGTCCCAAGGCCAGCAGCCTGAATGTTTGCTAAGGATACAGGGCATCTTGACTTTGACAAGCCTCTCCCCCTTCAAGCTCCTACAACCCACTTATCAGTCCGAGGGGTTGTTATCACACCGGGTGGTCCTGTCCCTAAACCAAACGGGCTTAGCAAGCTCCTGCCAACAACCTCTACAAAGAAGCAAGGGCAGCCAGCTTTGCCCCAGAGGATAGTGCGCACATTTCACCCTGCTTTGAGCTGAAGCCAGACACACAATCGAGGCTCACTGTCTAGATTTCCCACCAGGACAGAAGCCACATGCAGCATTCCACGAGAAGGCTGCAGGGACAGCAGGAGGTTTCTGCGAGCAGGGAATGATGGGGACAGTTAAACTCCAGCAGTGTCCTAGGTGGACTGGTCCTGTGAACACTGCACAGGAGTGACGCCCCTCCCCCTCCCTTCCTCAGTAAGGCATGGGACGTTATACACACAAGGAAACATGGGAAGGAACACATCTTGGTGACAACAAACCCTGATGTCTCTAGGTGACATTTCAAAGAATACTCTTTGAGAGAGGAGCCAATTTTAGGTCAACCCCTCCTGAAGAAGCTCGTCTGGACACTGACAGGTATGGGGATTTTCTGCCAGGCAGGTCTGTAGAGCTCCAGGCTCAGAGGCATCACAGAGGTACCCTATACTTAAAAAAAAAAAAAGATGTGTATAACCAGGCGTGGTGGCCTGAATCCGAAAGACTTTCAAGCACTAAAAAGTGCCGTATATGTTATTGCCTCGCATCTTGTTTGACCTCTGTGATTGGGAAGGGTGGCAGGGTCACCCTGAACTTCTGCAGTGCCTCCCGAGGGGGAACTCTTCTGGCCCTGCTGAACCCTAGGGGAACCCACCACACACCCTCCTTTTCTCTTGCATTCACATAGGATAGGGCAGTAATCCTTCTAGGAGTCCCATCACAACCCATGTACTAATTAAACTCTGGGAAACGAGCCTAACCCAGCACAGAAGTGATGAAAACTGACGAAGGCTCACATCAAAAACAACTGTTTCTGGGCAGAAGAGAACAGAGCCACTGAGGGAAGGCAAACTGCTTTAGAGCCGGAGGTATGGGCTGGTGTTGGTGGCCATCTTTTGTAACCTTTTTGGGCTTTCTTGGGTGGGTTGTGGACACAGGGGCTACTGACCCTTTACATCTTGGGTTGACGATTAGTTGGCATCTTGAAGTGAGAATCAATACAGAGTGGAAATACATTGTCTGAGGCCAAGCAGCTAACAATACCCTGGGCCTTTCCTACACATCAGCATAGAACAGCATACACCCAGCCTTGGAATGCTGGGGCCCAGGCCCCTTATGCAGGGAGGGAGCTGCTGCATCCCCCGGCACCAAATGCGGAGAGTAGCTTTGGCTTTTGGGGCACACCTTGCCCCTTCCACCGAACCTTTATATTTTTGTGTTTAAAGAGGAAGAAAAAAAAAAAAAAACTAAGATTCCTTCAGTAACAGTTTATTTTCATATTGGGAAAGGCATCTGCAAGCAGGTGCCTCTGTGGGGCAGTCCTGACTCAGCTGTAACCCAGAGGGATGACACGGGAATGTGTAACTGCTCACAGCCTGTCTGGGCAGAAGCATCCGTTGGCTTCAGGAGCACGGTCCTGGGGAGCCCAACTTTCTCGCACAGGGGGGCCCCTCTGAGATCCAGAGGGACAACTCCACTGCTCTGTTCAGACCGAACTCAACACTTCTCCTTCAAGTCTCAACACACTCTCTAGAAGTTTCCATCAAACAAGCACTGATATATTATATTAAAAAATAGTGCAAAATCTCAACATTTATATAAATAGCTCTAAACCTCTGCTTTGTAGGTTTTTTTTCTTTACAAGGTAAATACACACTTTCGGAGTTGGCACTCAAAAATTTGCCATTTTTTTTTCTCTTCTAGATCAGAAAACAACTTTTTTTTTTTAATAGGCCTCTTCTAGTACAAAAATACTCCTGCTTTCCCACATACAGTGTCTCTTATTTTATATATATTTATATATATATATAATATTGCAGATTTTAAACAAAGGTTTGTGCAAATATGTCTTTAAAGTTAAGTGAAACCATCATAAACAAAAGAAATTAAGCATTCACACATGGAGCTCAACTAAGAACAATGAAAAAAAGACTAGCGGAGGATTTTCTCTTTTGCCTTCAAGACACGGCTCAACAAAGAAACGTGGCTTTTTTTTTTTTTTTTGCAAGCTTTCTGAGCTTCTGCATTCAGACCACACAGAACATGTAAATATTTATACACAGAGAGGAGAGTTGGCACATGTCACACGGCCTGTGTGTCCTCTGCCTTCCTCTCTCTTCTCTCTTAAGTGCGGAGTGTCTCTGCAGTTTGCCTACAGGTGCCCCGGCCCCCACTCTTAGAGGGGGTGACCTTTCTGTTTCTCCTTCTCCTTGTTCTCCAGGGGGGCGATGTGAGGGTGATGGAGCCGGGTCCCCTCTATCAGGGAGGGCGGCCCGTTACTCTGCTGGTGGTGGAAGGAAGAGCCTGGGTAGTGGCCGATGACCTCACTGTAGGTGGGGGGCGGCCCCTCCATGCGCCCTCCGCTGCTGTAGCAGGTAGCGCTGATGCCCGAGTTACTGCTGGGAGGGCAGGGGCCTCCCAGCACGGCGCTGTCCATGAGGTCGCTGTCGAAGATGGTCCGGTTGGGCGGTGCGCGCACAGACTCTCGGTTCAGCTCCAGCTGTTGCTCAGGGTCCCGTAGCTGGAGGGTGCAGGGACCTTGGTAGGGTGGGGGTTCTTCCCCATCAGACAGGGAGATGGTAGGAGGCAGGGCAATCTCCTGCTGCAGGTAGGGGTACGTGGGCTGGAAACGGCTCCGCTGGACGAAGGGAGGCACAGCGAGGCGGTCAGTGGGTCGAGGAGGGGCATAGACCTGTGGCTGAAAGGGGCAGAGTAGGGTCAGGGAGGGAAGCACACTCAGATCGGGTCCCCAGATTCAGAGACTGGGCCGTGTAGGGGCTACCCCAGGGGAACCCCTGGAAACAGGGCCATCTGACATTGACCACCCCATCCTCCCCCCACCCCGAATCAGGGAGTATGTGTGATCCTGGACAAGGGCTCAGCCTCTGAGAGCGAGGGATACATCGGGAGGGAAGGTGGGGCTTGGTCTTACCTCTGGCATTCCAGCTGACACCGTGCTCTCTGAGGGCCAGAGGCATCCTTCCTGTAGAGCAGAAAGGGATACAGGGTCAACAGTGGGCGGAGCTGTTGACACAAGGCTCCTAGAGTCAAACTTTTCATCCAGAAGTGTTGGGCCCTCTACTTCTCTTCCTCCACCCTCCCCACATCTGTGCGATCACCTCCTTGGCTTCTCCTGCACCCCAGCTGCTGTCCTGTCCGGCTTTCGGAAGCACACACGTGACCTGTGAGGGCAGCCTTTCTCTAAGCCTGCAGGCAGCTCCCCGGGCCATGGGAACAAACCTGCAAGTGGCTGATAAGGAAGGGCCAGCATGGCCTCCACACCTGCCTTCTTTACCAGAACTGCTTGCTGGTGATCCCACCCAAGATGTTTAACTTTGACCCGGCAGATTCAGCATCTGGACATGTGGATACATACACTTGGCTGGAGACATCAGTGGATTTAATGTTGCAACGTCACAGTCACCTGAACCTCAGGGTACAACAGAAAATGACAGGTGCCGCTGCTACCCATCCCCCCCACCCCCTTTCACAGAAACCAGGTATGACGTATCTCAGGACGCCAAACACGCGCCACAGGACCTTTGGACTGGGCTACCCCGCTGTGGGGCCAGATTCCTATTGATGTTGCCCAGGTCTCTACAGGGTAGTGGTTCTCAACCTGTGGGTCGCAGCTCTGTTGGGGGGTTGCATATCAAATATCCTGCACATTAGATGTTAACATTAAGATTCATAATGGTATCAACATTACAGTTATGAAGTAGCAACGGTAATAATTTTATGGCTGGGGCCACCACAACACGAGGATCAGTATTAAAGGGTCACAGCATTAGGAAGGTAGAAAGCCACTGTCATCGAGTCTCAAACATCTTTATCAGTAAACGGGCATGGAGCCACTTGTGTGATGACTGTCACTCCTGCAGCTCATGTCCTCTGCTGTGAGATCCCAGGAGGGAACTGAGCTGCCCCGGGGGGCTCTAGGTGTAACTCCCAGCCTGGGGAAAGCGATGCCTGAGTTTTACAATCTGGTCAAATGCCGACATCCCAGCACCACAATCCATCTCTCTAAAGCTGTCCTGTGCTGCAGAAACACACACTGTCCCTCCCCAAGCTGCAGAGGCTCGCAGTTCACCCAGTGGCCACTAGGTGGATCTGAGACTGCACCTGCAGATACAGATAGTATGTCTCTCCCTGTATGGTGAGTGGTCCTGGCTGCCTTCAAGTTGTACAAGCCCACAGGTGTGTCCTGCCACTCCCCCGCTGTCCCCATCCCACCCAGTGGAGCCTCCCTGGGCTCTCCCTCCCATACACAGATACCCAGTTCCCTTGCCTGGGCACCTCTGCCTGCTGGATGGTGAGGCCTGGACTGGCCTCCAAGCCTTGCCTTGCAGATTAAGTCAGGAACACAGGGAGGGAGCCGGAAGCTCTTCCCCAGGGGAGCCAGCTGGGCTTGCAATGGTCCCACGGGGCTCCATATGCTGCACCCCAGGGCCCTGCCTCTGCCCCCTCCCACAGGGCCCACTCCTTCCTACCCACACCCTCCCCCAAAACTGCTTAGATTCCTTTGCACTTCCTGCAGCCTTCAGGGTGAGCAGCCAGCCCCACCCACTGCCACGCCAGCAAACCTCACAGCCCTCACATGGGCTTCCTTGCCGGTAGCATGTAAGATGCACACCTCCCCTACCTCGATCCCAGCTGTCCTGGTTAATTTTTAATACTGTCAGTTTGACGTGACCTAGAAGAAGGAATCTCAGCTGAAAAATTGCCTGAATCAGGTTGGCTTTTTGCCAGCTGGTGAGATGCTGCCTTGACTGATGATTGGTGAGGAGGGCCCAGCCCCCTGAGGGTGACACCCTCACTGGGCAGGCTGGAGAGTGAGGTGCTCCTCCATGGTCTCTGCTTCAGGTTCCTGCCTTCACTTCCTGTCCTGGCTTCCCTCAGTAAAGAGCTGTGACTTGGAAGCAGGAAGTAACCCCCCCCCCATCTAAGATGCCTTTGGTCACAATGTTTTATCACAGCAACAGAAAAGCAGAACACTGGCCTCTCTCTTCCTACAAACAACCCCGTCTTCTCTGCCCATATTGGCCTGGCTACACCACCTCCCTCTCTCTGCAAAGCTGCAGCTGTGCCAGGAGGGACGGCCCTCTCTCCCATGCCTAGCATGTAGTGTGGCTCACAGCACATGCTCAAGTTACAACCATCATGTAGTGTTCCCTGGGGCTTCAGGAAGGCACTGTGCGGGAGTGGCAGACGCCCTTCCCTCCCTCCTTCTAGAACTCTGTTCCTGAGCCTATTAAGGCTCTGGGCTCCTTCATGCTCCGGACACTGGCTGGGGTACTGGTTTCTGTTCCGTGATAAGTTCTCAGTTGGGTTGCCCCGAGTTCACCATGGCTTCTCCGTTGCCTCTACCTGGACCTCCCCAGAGCAGGAGTCTGCCAGCCATTTCCACAAAGGTTCAGAATAACATTTCTGTATGCACCAACTCTCAAAGAGTAACTAAAAACATTATACCAGAAAAACAACAACAAAACTCCAAGCAGTTTCTGCTTTGTTAAACCCTAATAGCTCACAGACACTCACAGGCATGGTCGTGTGCCAATAAAACTTTATTCACAAACCTAGGCACACAGCCTCTGGGCCAGGCCAGTCTGTTAAGGCCTAATGGTGCCCACCTGACTCCAACTCCACATGGAGAGCTACCACCTGCCTGGAAAGTCCCTTCAGGCTGCTTTTGGGCAGGGATCAGACTCTCCCCTCTGCTCCATTCTAACACTCGTTCCCCCCACGTGGGCAAGTAGTAATCAAATTCTGCGAAGCAAACCTCCGGCAGGTGGAAAGCTGGGACCGCCCTGACGCAGGCTGAGAAAGGTCTGGGTGAAATCTCTTTGAAGCTGGGTATGGATTTGGCCTGAGCTCACACTGACCCCCTTATCTGGTTTTACTATAGTTTGCCTTTGGCTCCAGTACATGAACTCCTGGCAGGCTAAGCTCCATGGGGAGCAGGAGACCTATGCCAAGCGTTGATGAGGAGATAAAGCATGGCTTCATCCCAAGCCCTAGCTGAGCTTCTAGTCTGCGGTGGCCTCGTTTACAAACCACACTCCCCAAGGGAGCCACTGATGAGGTGATGCTTACAGCCAAGTCCAGTGGGACAGGCACAGGCTGTGAGGGGTAGGCAGGAGGTCAGGGCAGGGGCCAACTGTGGAAGGGCAGCTGCTGATGCTTAGCAGTGGACGCGCGTCCCCCTGCACCTGACCCTCATGCCGATCACTCTTCTTCCTGCTTGCCACATGAAGAAATCAGCTCAGAGAGCGCTTTGGCCAGTGTGGCACAGGAAGGGAAGGCGAGGGGCGCCAAGCCCTTCCGCCAGGCAGTTTCTCACCTGCTGCTCTGGGTCTAGGGAGAGGTGACCCGTACAAAGGGCAGGTGTGTACTGAGATGAGACTGTGGCCGAAAACACAGGGAGGACAGGGCCCCCAACTCCAAGGTCACCTTGATAAGAAGCCATTGCCAGAGACATTCAAGAGGCAAGGCCTGGGCGGGCAGAGCCTAGTGAGACAATTGTATCTAGGTCTCTCTGGGGGGTCACAGGGCCTGGAGACACCTCGGATGCGGATGCACTATGTCGAAAAGAGAGGGAGTCCCGGGGGGCTGTGGCCTTGTGCTCCAGGCCTCCCCAGGGCTCCCTGTTTATTCATCCAGGTGACACGGAGGTGCTCTCTTTGAGGCCCAGTGCCTCGGGAGGAGGGTCAGAGCCGAGTCTGTGTCAGCAGCTGAGCTCAGGTGTCCACGCAAAACAAGCTCTGGTCCCCTGGCACCTGCACCCAGAGCCCGTTTGCTCATTCCACACTCTCGGCTAACCACACCCCACAAGGGGCTGTGGGGTCTTCACAGGACACTGCCCTGAGAGCTGTTTGGCCTTAAACAAGTGTTCCACCTCTCTGAGCCCTGGACGTCACTCATGGCTGGCGCTGTGCGAAGAACACTTGCCAGGCAGACGGCAGTGCCTGTTGCTAGGTAACAGATAACAAATGAGCCAGGTGAGTCAGGGCATGGCAGGCAGGATTCCGATACAGCAGGTGCCAGCTTTGCCCTCAGGATGTGTCTTGGGCCTCAGTCAGGAGTGCCCCTGTCTCTGTCACAATTCTTGCCCCGATGAACTGGTGACGGCATTGAAACTGAGCCTGACGCAAACAGAGATGCCCAAACCTGCCAGGGACAGCCCTGCTGTCTAGGGAGATGGCCAGTTCTTTCTTGGCTTAGCCCTTAGACTCTAGGCGCCTCTGCCAGCCTGGGACATCCCACAGACTTGGGCACTCTGCCCAGCATGGCACGTCTCATCCCATTCTCCCAGCACCCGCTGAGCCGTCCTGGAGATGGGCCGCCCCCTTGGGTTGCACATCCTGCCACAGCCCGCCCGCCCAGAGAGCAGCTTCCTAGTCTGCAGTGTGAGCCAGAGAGAGCACGCCTCCCTTTACCACTGATGGCGAACACCTGAGGGCAGAATAGATGTCCCCTAAAGGGCCCAATGTCATGGGCAAGTGGGCAAGTGCCACCCACAGGAGGTGACTACCCAGGCAGCAGTGTCTCTGGAGTCACTGGGGACGCTGTTAGGTCCCAGGAAGTCCTTGATGTTCACAGTGCTAATGCATCAAAACACAAGCTGTGTCAGGCAGCCGTCCCTCAGGTGCACGATGGTTGTCCCTCAGTACTGAAGAGGGTGGTCTTAGGGTCCCCAGAGGTACCAAGACCAGTTCTGCTCAAGCCGTGTGTGTGTGTGTGTGTGTGTGTGTACACGCTTGCTTGCACAGAGACCCAACCAGCCCCTTTAAGTGCAGTAAGTTACATCTATCTGGTAGGATGTAAATAAATGGGCTGCCACTAGTTAGTTCACACGGTGTCACTCAGGCTAACAAGGGGCCCAGCACACACAGGAATGCTTGCTTCATGGGCTCTGAGGGTGGCTGAGCCCCATGACCCTGACCTCTGATCCCAAGGCTAGCTGTACTCGGTTCTACCTCCCTCTGAGGAATGTCATGTCTCCAGCCTTAAGTCTGGACCTCAGATCTCCTCACCCGCAGAAGCTCTCAAAAAGCGAGGAGCCCCCAAAGCAGGAAGCCCCTTATATGGAGTTCCTGCCTGTGATTTTCTGACACACACAGCCTGGGGATGGTTCTGGTTGTCTCCTGTGCCAGGGGAATTTGGGCATCCAGGGAGCCATCAGCACAGAGCTGGCAGGTGAGGCGTCGTGTGGATGAGGGAGCCTTCCAGCCCGAGACAGCCGGCTTACTGTGTCAAGCCTGAATTACCCAGGAGGTGCCTTTGCTGGCTCATCCCACCTGAGGAGCCAGATGAGACCGAGGTCCAGGAAGAGGCCTCTCGGGTGTCTGGTTGCTTCCATGGCCTCGCAAGGCACTGGGGCTACGCGGTCCAAGTGCTGGTGGCATGCTGGGGAGGGGGAGGGCTGCAACCTCCTTCTATCTAGGTCACAGCCACAAGACTCGGGCATCTTTCCCACACCTCTGCCCTGGTCGGCGCCCAGTCAAGCACCAGCCCTGGCCTCTTTGCTCTGCCTCAGCTAGCTTCTCAACGGCTTTGGGAGGCCTGACCTGCCACCACATACCCCCACTGTCTCCCATCTCCGCTCGCTCCCCGAGCCCATTCAGCCTGTAACAGCGGGGCTCCTCGGGGACCTGGCACCTACCTCCTGAGCCCTCTGGGAGCCCAGCAGAAGTCTCTCTGCTGCCGCCGTCCCCAGGGCAGTGCTGGGTGTGCAGGCTCAAGTACATCCTCACTTCCGCCCTGAAGGCACTCAATTCTCCAGCCCAAACCTTCTTCACACACCCCTTGCCCCCCTCCCCCACCCCGCCCCTAGGAGCGCACAGAGCCACATCCACCGGGCAGTTCCTGCTGTGCTGACTGGAGAAAGCCAGGGGTTTCTGGACCCAAATCCCAGTTCCTGGGGCGCACGAATAGGGTGATATGGTTGATGGGTCAGAATGTTCCATGCAGCTGGAAACCCAGGCTGTAGTCCCTGCAGTCACTTACTGAGGACAGTCCGTCGTCTCTCCTCCTGGCCTGGCTGTGGCGGCTGATGAAGGAACGGGCTGAGAGCTTGTAGTGGCTCAGCAGGCATGTGATCATCACCACCATCACCATCATCACTACCACGATGACCACTATCTGCACGAACTCCAGCTCCGCTGTGGGACAGAGAGAGACACATGAGATATTACAGCCAGCCGCCACAGGCTCCTATCTCCATAAGGCTGAGGACTCAGGCACTGGGGAGAAGAAAGAGGCCTGGCCCCAACTATGGGCAGGCGTGAAGACACAGCCTGGGTCCTCAGAGATGCTAGGCATGGCCCGGCTCTCAGAAAGGACCTTGAGATTAATGTCGGGAAGAGGGAGCTGAGGGCTGAGGAAATGCTGGGTAGGATGTGAACAGAAGCACAGGTGACCCATGGGCAAGCATGTACACAAGACCATCACTCTCCAATATACCGCCACTCACACACCCCAGCAAGCAACGTTTCAACCTTCCCTCCCACAAAACAGCGGCCAGTGCTCTTACACACCCCAACCCTCCCCACCAACCGCCTGTGTATCCCAAAATAACAGCCCAATACTCCCGCACACCCCAACTCCCCACCCACTTCCCAAGCCTCCTTCACGCCTCCAAACAGCCCACTATTCCAACACTCCGGCATTTCTTCACTCCCCAAGCAACCCAGTGTTTCTACGTCAACCCTCTCACGTACCAACACCTAAACCCCCTAAACGCTCCTGAATAGCAATCCTCCACCCCAACTTTCCAACCCTCCTACTCTCCCCAGAACAACAGCCTCAAGTGTGCACATCCTGTACACTCCAACGCTCCCACCGTGGGGTGACATCTCAAACACCCCTACCCTTCTACACCTCTCAGAACAGCCCACTACTCCTGCTCACCTCAACACTCCCACATGCACCCCAAAACCACACCTCAACATTCTGACACTCCAGCAACAGGGCTAACCCTGCTTTACACCTCAAAGACAGCCCAGGAAACACAAGACAGCGCGCGCGTGCACACACACACACACCCCAGAGTCACACACACACACACACACACACACCAGACTCACACACACAGCACACACACCCCAGAGTCACACACACACACAGCACACATCAGAGTCACACACAGAGCACACACACACACACACACACACACCAGACTCACACACACACACACACGAGTCACACACAGAGCACACACACACACACAGCACACACATCCCAGAGTCTCACACACACACAGCACATACACACACAGCACACATACCCCAGAGTCACACACACACACACAGCACACATACCCCAGAGTCGCACACACACACAGCACACACCAGAGTCTCTCTCTCTCTCTCTCTCTCACACACACACACACACACACAGCACACACACACACAGCACACACCAGAGTCACGCACACTTGCACCCACCACCCAGGGCCGAGGTCGGAGGCCTCCCAGTGAAGGAAGGCTTCAGACACACCCTGGTACAGCACACAGTGCTTTCCTCTTTGTTTTTCCTTCTTCCTGTTTTTGGTCTTGGTTTAGTTCCCCCCTAGAAAGAGGAAAAGCCCTCTGGTGCTGGGAAGGGAGGAAGCTATTTTGATAGCGTTTAAGCGGGTGGTTCTGCTGAGTCTGGCGGGCCGAGGCGCAGCAGCTGGCCGCAGCTGGTGCCAGCAGAGCCCCCCAGCAACAGGCAGGATGCCAGGAGCCTTGCAGGGTACTGGATCCGGCAGATCTCAAAGGCCCTGCCGGGGCGGAGGCGGAGGCACAGTGACGGACCTCCCCTGCCTTGGAGGAAAGATGGGGGTGCTCCCTCATGCCAAAGATGGAAGGGACCGCAAGTCAAGTTTCAAGGGCAACCCAGCCCTGTGCTAACCCAGAGACAGGAACTGAGGAGGAGGGGCTGAAAGTCTCCATGGGCCCAAACCTCTAACCCCGGCAGGACTCACTCACCCCCTGAGGCAGGACCTCAAGCTGAAACACAGAACCGTGAAGGACATGATCACAAAGTCCAAGTGCCCACAGCTGGGACTCCAATACAAGTCTGGGCTACAACTGGGCCTCCTGAACCGCAGTCTGGTGAAGCTTCACCCCAAGCCCCTCTCCCCTATCTCTCCAGACCATGCTGCATCCCAGAAAACTCCCTCAGAGATGCTGAAGACCACTCCCACAGGGTATTTAAACTGCCCCCGCCCCCAAATAGCTGTGTGGCTGGAAAATCATCCGGGGGCATCATACCTATTAAACATGGGCTCTTTCTAATTCAGTTTGATTTGGCCTGACTTGGGTTGCTGCGTTGGCGGAGAGGCTTTTCGGGGCACAGAAACTTTACAAACTAGGCCCATTTTCAGCGAGCTTCCCCCCCCCCCCCTTTCTCGAGGAGCCAGGTAGGATACAGTGGAGAGGGTGAGCCACAAGGATTTGGTTGGGATTCACTCAGGCCTCAAATAGGGACCCCCTCTAGTGGGGTGCGGAGCCTGAGTAGGGCCAAAGTGAGGGAGACCAGCTCACTGCAGCCAAGTTCCTGTCTCCCCAAGAGAGGTGGGACTGGGCCAGAGTAGCTTGGCCCAAATGTGCTAGGCACTCAGGTCTGGCTGTCGGAACCCAGGATAAAGCCATGCATTCAAGGGACACAGGGCCTGCTTTGTGCAACACCCACATTACCCCAACCCCAAAGAGCCCTCAACCCCTCCCCCATCAACTCTGCACTCCTCACCCGGGCCTGAGACACCCCCTCTGGCTGTCTCTGAGGCTTCTGCCCACATCAGGCCTAAATGGAGCCGGGAGATGTAGACAGCCTTTGTTCCTGGTCTCTGGCAGCCTGAGGGACTTGATAGGCTGCTCCACTGCTCCTGGGGTGGTCTGGGGCCCTGGGGAGACTGGTGGGAAGTGAGTTGAGGCGGCAGGGCAGGCAAGGGCTGACGGGATGCGATGCAGGGGGCAGTGAATGCAGCCCCTTCGGGGCCAGTTGGGGTTGACAAGTTTGGGTTCCTGTGCGCAGAAAGCGGGAGAATTGCTCCCCAAAGTGAGGGGAGGGTTCCCTACACACAAATGTGACCACCTGGTTCCATGACCACCAGCTTTAAGCAAAGACACAGACCCAGAAATTTCATTTAAGCCAGGAGGAGAAAGCATAGATCCAAAACAAGAAACGGAGTCCTCGGAGATGCCTAGCAAAGGCTTGTGTTGAATGTGGCTGGCCACTGAGCAGGACAGAGAATGCCCACAGTATGGCCCTCACGGTGCCCAGCACACACTGAAGCAAAACAGGGTGTTGGGTTAGGAAGAGAGTACGAAAGAGCCCTGGTACCTCCAAGGCAGGACGCAGATTGAGGACAGGTTTCTCAGCAGTTCATGGAAGGCAGGCACAGCCGGAACCATCCCTGGCAAGGCTGGACAGACGAGCAAAACCAGGACACAATGTCTAGACCACATTGCCCACAGTGGAGTTGAGAACGCACTCTCCGGATTAAAGCTTTAAATTCGGAGTAAAGCCAGGCATAGTAGCTCATGTCTGTCATTCCAGCACTTGGGGAGGGTGAGGCAGAGGGATTGATACCAGGTCAAGGGAGCCATCCTGCGTGGCAAGGCTAGCCTTGGCCACACGAGAACGTGTCTCAAAACAAAACAAACTGGGTGTAGTGGCATACACCCTTAATCCCAGCACGGGCCTGAGCCTGCATTTGGGCCAAGGGAGTGGACTCGGTTCTGGCTGGTTAATGTAAAGGTGGTATCCTTGCTGTCAACATCTCTGGCACCCACCCTAGACAGAAACAGGGTTTGACTCCCAGCCTACAGCTCCTTCCCAATGAAAATTGGGGGTGTGGAACAAGTGGACCCAAACTCCCCGCTATCAGGGCATATGAGCTGCCCCTTCCCCCGCCTTCCAGTTAAGAGCGCGGAAAGCAGTTGGGGCTGGAGAGCTAGGCATGTCCACCCGGCTTCCTCTCCTCGGTAGGTTTTCCTAGACCAGATGCTCTCTGCTAGCCTGCCCCTGGGTCTACCTCTGGGGAGGGTAGCAACCTCCTTCCTAGTTAACAAGCAGCCCGAACCCGGCCCCGTCTGGCCTCCAGGCCGCACACGGAGGAATTAGGAATTGGCACCGTCTGAAATTTATGAAAATCTAATCTCGTTAGGCCCGCCTGGTGGAGACCCGGCGGGCGGCCTCATTGTTATTCCGAGGAGCCCCAGTCGCTGGGGTTCCGGCCACTCCATCATCACCCCTCCCCCACTGCCTGCTGTATTTGAATATGAACTGGGTCCCCCATGCCCTTGAATTCAAGCAAAATTAGACCAGACGTCAAAGGAATAGCTTTGCCATCTCTTGGGTGCCATTTAAAACACCCCCCCCCCGAAGGCGCATTTATTTCTTAGTGTAAGAACTTTCATGATTTTTTTTTTTTAATTGCTTTTCCTCTGAAGGATTCGGGAGCAGGCAGCATTTTCTGGTCTTCAGGACCAGACTGCCAGTCTCTGATAAGTTATCTAGCTCTGGCCAGGTGACCCTGAATGGTGAGGCAAATCCCCCAGTACCCTGCAACTTCAGTTACTTCTGCCTTGAGAGCAAGAAGAAAGGAGGCATCTTGGAGGTTAGGGAGGGCCCCAATCTTCCATTCTTGGCAGTCTTTGGGGGGAGGTAATTTTTACCCCCCCCCCCCTTCTGACACAGGGTCTCACTATATAGCTCTGGCTGTCCTGGAACTTAACTCTGTAAACCAGGCTGACCTCCAAACTCACAGAGATCTACCTGCCTCTACTTCCCAGGCGCTGAGGCTAAGGACCTGCACCACTACACCTGACCTATTTTGTTTTGAGACAGGTTCTTATTTAGTCGAGGATAGTCTGGAACTTGATATACACAGCCCAGGATAATTTTGACTTCTGATCCTGACTCTACTTCTCACTGAGATTGCAGACGCCATGCCAGACCCAGGTCATGAAGTCCAAACTCCAAGATATTGGGTTCAGTCCTAACTTTGTCACTTACTATTTGGCTGGGGAGGGGGGCAAGTGGCAAACCCTATGGATGATGTTCAAACTCGTTGTCTGCTATCCACTTCTTATGTCCATTTCTCCTGATAAAACTGCTCTGGGACTCTCTCCTCTGTTGCTAGGCAGTAGCCACCATGTCCCCATCAGGACCT